AGCCTCTCAAATATTGGTATTCCCAGACTCTACATTCTATTTTCTCTTTTTTACTCATATTCTCCTTTTAAGCATGATGTTATGCCTGAAGATTTTAGCTTTCACACACATATGTACATGCACATACACACAGGCTCATACAGTAAATTATCAAATATACACTTACAGTTCAGGCCTCTGTCCTGAAAAATAGCGTTTTATATCCAACTGTCAACAAAATTTCTCCATTGAATATCCTATGATTCTCCTCCCTGGCAAATATGCTCTCCACCCAGCCCTCCTTATCTCCAGTAAGGTAAGCAATCTGACCTTCTCATTTTATAAATAAGTTTTCTTTGTCATAGTAATACAATTTTTCACCACTCTTGAAACTTCCCCATATTTCTTTTTCTTAACTATTTTATTTCTTAATACAATAGACGATATTACTGTGGTTATTCAGTTACTTCTTCATCTCCTGTCTTATCTATCACCTTGCCTAAAACTGCTCTCTTTGTACCACTGATGATAATGCCTTAAAACTATTTTCCCTTCACAAGTGTGATTCTGAATTCATGCTAACCTGATTTTAACACATCTCCGTCTGCTCATTCTCTGTTTACATTGATATCAGATATTCTACCGGCACCTAAATAATGGAATTTTACAAGTTATTTTGAGAAAGTGAGCAGGAGAAAAAGAAAGTAAGAGGAGGAATAAGACAGAGGAGACAGATTTCCTCAGAAGAGACCATCACCCCTACCCACAGATTTCAAAAGCTCAATGCATTCTAATAACAACCTCTCCTAGCTCCCAACTCAGTCTTTCAAATAACTGGAAATTAAAAAGTTAAAACAGAGTAATATGGAGCATTGTTATGTTCTCATAAAAACCTACTCTGCTTACACAGCTCCCTCTTGCTGTTAAAGGTTACATCTCTTGCCAATTAACATGAAATAAGATTTGTATTTAACTCCCTTTCATCTGCAATATGTGATAAAATGCTGTTGTATAATCTCGCCTGATAAGCCGCTTTTCCTTCAGTTCCATGCTTCCTTTTCTTTGCTATTGCAAAGACACTGTTCAGTACCCTCATATTCTCTAATAGAGACTCTTATAATAGCCTTCTTGAATTTCTGCCTTTCATCTCTCTCTGCTTGAATCAATCCAAATATTATTAATGTCATGTCAATCAAGTACTCTGTTCAAAACTTGTTCAAGTTCTCCACACTGTCTTTAGAAATAACTTCCAAATACCACTGGCTAGTATTACAATCCTCCACCAATTTGTCCCAGATTTATCTCCCACTGTTCTCTAAGCAATTAGACAAATATCTGCAGGCCCATCCATAGATGACTGCCTCTAAGCTTTTTAATCAAAATATTTTCCTTGCTATAATGATTTGTAATGTTTCATTCCCTCATGTAAAATGACATCAAGCCTCCAAATGGTGTTTTGGGAATAAATCTTTTAACTGGTTTTATTGTATGGTCACAAATTCCTCTTATGACATAAAGGTAACATCTCTCAAAATGTATTATATATGATATTTACATAATTATATGATAAGTTATCTTGATCATATTTAAATATTTGAATATTGTCGAAATAATATTCAATCATATTAAAAGATTCTAATGACTCAACTATTTCACTTACATTAAATACTTAGGTCTAAGTATATGAGACAAAATATTCATTATCATGCATGTGTCAGTTCTGCTAATGGTAATGCACCTTGTATGGACTAACTTTTCCATAGACAGTGACAAACTATGTTTTTTAAAGAAGTTTAAAAACAACTATTTGAAGGTGCTTGAGTTTAGTTAAGAACAGACTGGAGAGTAGTTCAGTTGAGGATATTCTGTCATTTATGTGGCAAGAACTCACATAGAAAGTACAGATTTATCAGCTTTTTAGATTCACAGATCCAAGACATAAAGTATATGATCAGTGAAAAATAAGGGGATATATTTAGAAACTAAAGTAGGCACCTTGAAACCTGTGTATATAGTATCTCCCAAATCATTGATAGATGCCTGAACTACATATGGAAACAGACCATGAAAGTTGTGACTGGAAAATTGAGAAAACTGGCATCTTCCCATTGCAAGGGAAGTCCAGTAGAGTCCAGTCAAACATGGAGCTTCTAGAACAAAAATTAACCCTCTTAAAAATATAACAGAATCCTGAAAACATATAATCTATAATGTCAAGTATACAATGAAAATTACTATATCTGCAAAGAAACACAAAAAATCATAGTTGAGAGAAAAAGAAAAACTAAACTGACCTTAAATGATCAGAAAGTAGAATTAGCATACAAGGACTTTAAAAGTCCTATACAAAACATATTCAAGAACTTTAAGGAAAATATAATCATAATGAACACAAATATGATGAAGTATAAAAATGAAAACTACAAAAAATGAAAATTCTGGAACTGAAAAGTATAATGTGTGTTTTGTGTATGGAACACTAATGAGTTTAACTTTACAGCATATTGGAGATATAAGCACAGAAAAAAATAAATAGAAATGAAATCATTTGTGGGACAATGCCTAGAAAACTAACAAATATGTATGTACATATTCAATATACGTACATATTCAATATGCATATTGAATATATATATATAAACGAATGTGTATGGAGAGCATATATATATATGCTCTCCATACACACATACACACACACATATGTATGTGTGTGTGTGTATGTGTGTGTATGGAGAGCAAACAGTGAGTGAATAAACCAGAAAGTTATTTAAAGAAATAATGGATGAAAACTTATAAAACATGAACTTATGCATTCAAGAACATTGGTAGCCTAAAAACTATACAGTTTCCCCTACCACCTCTACATACAAAATCACACTATAGAAAAACTGATGAAAAACAAACAAAATTTGCAAGACAAAATAATTATAAATAGGATATCATCAATATGAATGATACATTAATTTACATTTGAAACAAGGTTAAAAGACAATAAAACATTTTTAAAAGGTTAAAAGAAAAAAATATAACTACTAAGCCAGAGTTCTATATCCAGAGAAAATATTCTTTAAAAATAAAGATCTTTTCACAAAAATGAAAACTGAAAGAATTGTTGTTAGCAGTTCTAAGCCACACCATGTATACATTCTAATTTTGTACATTTGTATATATACTTGGATATAATCTGATCTTGCACTAACCTCATTTGCCTTCTGCATCTCCTTCAAAATTTCTCCTATTATATTATTTGCATTTCTTTAAAATATACTGTGATGCATTTATATGTGCTACTGAACTTTAATCATGTAGGGCAGCAAGTTAATATTTAAAATACCTTAATTAAAAATCCTCCCTATAAGGATAGATAACAGCTGAAATACCTCAATTAGTGGCACTCTCCAAAGGCAGCTATTAAGTACTTTGATATGACTAATTATATTTGTACCTGAGCACTAACTAGCATAAGGAATTTCAGAAATAATTTTTCAGTTGTATAATGAATAGTGTTTTCTCTATATGTTTATTAAACATATTCTATAGTCACTGCTGCCTCTTCATAAATGGAGTATGTGTATCAAGAGCTATTTGTCTATAGAATATCCAGAGCACTATTTTAATCTGTGCCCATCTTAATGTAGGGTTACGATTCTAACTAAAAAGAAAAATAACAATTCCTGAGAGTGAAATACTGTTTCGTATACTTCAGGGTAAAATGGTGATTGCAATGCTTCAAAGGGTAAAAATGAGTAAGAGCAAAGACTCCACCCAGCTTATAGAAACAGACTCCATGACTGGTCTTTGAGCCTGCTTGTGAGTAAATGTTACATGAGTGGTCAAAGTCGGTTGAAATTTACTTTCATTCCCATTTCATACCATATCACCTAGTGTTAGGGACTCAGGAAAAAAAAAATGTACATCTTTCTCCCACTAACATATATCTTAAGTCAGCTTGAAATCCTGCCCTCTTCTCTGCTCCTCAACTCACCTGTCTAGGAAAAAGTAGTTATAGAATCAATAAGTCTTTGCATGTCTTTTGTAAAATACTAATTGTAAAATTTATTTATATAAATTATATGTGAATGTTTGTGTGTATCTGTTATGGTTTAGATATGCGGTGTTCTCCAAAAGCTTGTGTATGATACAATGCAAGGACATTCAGAGGCAAATTATTAAATTATGAGGTATGTCACCTAGTCAGTAGATCAATCCACTGATATGGATTAACAATGGGGTAACTATAGCAGATAGGGTGTGGCTGGAGGAAGAATAGATCACTGAGGGTATTTTGGGCATTTATATTTTGGCCTTTGTGAGCAGATCTCTCTCTCTCTCTCTCTCTCTCTCTCTCTCTCTCTCTCTCTCTCTCCCCCCCCCCCCTTCCTGGTTGCCATGATCTAAGCTGCTTTCTTCCACCACACACACGTGCATGATGGTGTACCTCACCTTGGAGTCAGTGACTGTGGACTGAATCTCTGAAACCATGAGCCAAAAAAAAAAAAAAAAAATTTCCTCCTTTACATTCTTCTTTTCAAGACTTGATCATGGCAATGCAGAAGCTAATTAAAAAGTACATATATCTGTATTTATCTCTATTTATATATACACACATATATTCCAGTTTCATGGATAAGTTAATAAAATTATACATAAGAACACAATAGAGGGCTGGGGTAGTGGCTTAGTGGTAGAGCACTCGCCTAACATGTGGAAGGCACTRGGTTCAATCCTCAGCACCACATAAAAATAAATAAAATAAAGGTGTTGTGTCCAACTACAACTAAAAAATAAATACTAAAAAATGTTAAAAATTGTTCACTAAATGAATATGACAAGAATTAATCATGTCACAGGTTTATAGCTGATATAGGTTTTAAAGGTCCAGAGATCATTTCTCTGTCAGTTCAAGTCAGTTCATTTTTACTGTTTCTATCTTTCTTGGGAAGAACTACTACAATTTTTGTTTTAAAATAAAGTATTTTAAGTATCACTTTTATTGGTGGCAGTGAATGAAACTATCTTACCTCCAAATGGTATCCAACTCTGATGAAGGCACAAAGTGGGTCAAAAGCTCCAGTACCACAGGTCAGAAGGTGCGTCCTATTATAATGATGTAAAACCCGAACATAATTTGCACATTCATTCTAAAGCGGAATCAAAATGAAATAAATTGATTAGTGTAATAGAAATGTTTAGCCATTTTTTAAATTTTTATTTTCCCTAGCCCTTTATTCCACCTCCTATTTCACCATAATTTGCCTTCAATGGAGGGTCAAAGGATGCAGATAAGAAAAAGATAAAGGAAGAAACCAGGGTGACACACATTTTAGCAGAGAAGTGTGAATTCCATTTTACAATGAGAACAAAGCATTTTTCATGTATTCTAGATCATGAATGAGTATTTTTTAAAATGCACTGCTTAAATGTGTATTCAGGCATAAAAATTTGCATGGCAATATGTTCCTCTATGTAATTAAGTTATTCTCAATGCTATTATTTTTAAGTATACCATAAACAATGAATCAACACAAGATTAAAAAACAAATAATTAGAGACGGCTTCATTATACAGAGAGAAATATATACCAGACTGTAGGGCATTTCAGAATTTTGATATCTGGGAAAATATAACTTATGCCCTCAAATCCACATATTAATATAAAGCATTTCTAAGAGAATTTACAAGTAAATAGAAGACTAACCAACAGAAATAATATTTCACTTTTAAGGTTATCTCCTAAGATTACTATTGCTGTGAGATTATAATCCAAGTTTCAACAAGTTTTTTCTATTAAGGATCAGGCTGTAAACATTTCGTTTGGGGGCCTTCTGACCTCTGTTACGAATAAATGCAGCTATAGCATGAAAGCAGCCACAGGCAAAACAAAAATGTACATGTGTGTCAATGCTCTTATAAAACTCAGAAACATCAACTATAGGCTGTATTTGGTCCAGAAGCTTCAGTTTTGTAACACTGGTTTTAAATGTAAGCTTCTTGAGAACAGAATCCTTATTTTACAAATCACTGCATTTCCCAGTAAATCAAACACAGTATCTAGTATATAATATGTGCTTGAATACACTTTAATACATTAGTTACTAGTGGAGTTTTATGACTAAGATGTTGAGTGAAAAAAAATGTTTAGAATTGTTTCAAAACCAACTGGCTAATTAATTCAAATACCCTGTTGGAAAATTAGGTTTTACTATTTCATTAAAAATAAAATATGAGAGGCTGAGGCAGGAGGATTAAGAGTTCAAAGCCAGTCTCAGCAAAAGCGAGGCTCTAAGCAACTCAGTGAGACCCTGTCTCTAAATAAAATACAAAATAGGGCTGGGGATGTGACTCAGTGGTCAAGTGACCCTGAGTTTAACCCTCAGTACCAAAAGAAATAATTAAATAAATACATAAATTATGAAAGAAGTAGTAAACTCTTTGAATGGCAAATACTACTTTGATAATCATTATATGGAATAATCAGTTGTGTGTGTATGTGTGTGTGTGTGTGTGTTTCTAGGGATTGAACCCAGGGCCTTGTGCATGCAAGACAAGCACTCTACCAACTGAGCTATATCCCAAGCCCACTGTGGTTATCATTAAATGTAATATTTTTTAAGGACAGATTGTGATTTCAACACTTTAATGTTTCATATAACAATATTAGGATGGAAAGACAAGAAGATCTATTTTACCATAAGAGATCCATATGACATAATATCCTTTAAAAGAATAAGGAACTGAATTAATTATCCAGGGCACAGATATATTTATTTAATTTCCCACTCTTAACAAAATTTTATTCTGTGGGTAAGCCATATTGGTGATAGAATCTAGTCTTTCAGACAAGAGGAAAATATTCTATCCTGAGATTTCTGTAAGTACTTGCTTCTTTTTTGTTGACACTGTCACCTCTTAAAGAGTGAACCAATTAGGACTCATTTTGGCTCAGCTGAGCTTAGATTGACACCGCCTAGGAGTATGTTCAATTAGTCAGCATCATGATGTGGGCTAAGGCTGCAAGAATGTGTTGACTCAGTCCTTGGCCATGACCCAGTTGCTACAGAGAATTAGAAATTGAAGTAATATGTGTTAGTCATTTACATGGCATTTTCTTTTCCTAATAAAGATAAGTTTACTTTCAGAGAGAAATATGCAGGCCTTCCTCCCAGATGAGTATTACATTAGATCAATCACCCTCTCCTAACCTCTGAGGTCCTCTTGTTGCCTTGTGTCAGGAAAGGCGTTGTAAACAGCATTTCCCTTTCCACAGAGCTGGGGTAGTGCCTCAGAGGTAAAGTGCTTGCCTAGCACATGTGAGGCACTGGGTTTGATCCTCATCACCGAATAAAAATAAATAAATAAAATAAAGTCACTGTGTCCGTCTTAAAATAAATAAATCAATAAATAAAATAAAAGTTAAGACCTGGATGGCAGCTCAGTTTCTTTTAACTCTACATTGAAATTATCTTTTATATAATTGTAAGTTTACTGTATGTATATATTTATATTTTCCTTCATGAATTACACTGCATCTGTACTTTTCAAGACCAAATAAAAGTTAAATGATTCAGTCCTTCCTTTGTGCTTGATCAGGAATATAATAGATAATTTGTGTAATTTACAATGAATAATACTTACTGCATCTTTTCCTTTCATTATGCATTCTTCTATTTTTACTGCTGTAGTAGGCCAGTGAATCTGAAAGAGAAGATAATGTACTATTATGGTATCTAAATATAAAAATAAACCACACTGAAAAACCATTTCATTTTCTTCTACAATTCAATATGTTTCTATTTTCCTCTGTTTTCTCAGAAGATAAAATAAGATTTTATCATCTTCACATAATTATTTGCACAATAAGAAACTTATCTATGAGCTTTTACTTCATCCTCCCCTCCTTCCCCTCCCCACCAACACACACATACCATAATCTTTTCAAAGCCTCAGACCTTTAAGTCTGGTCACCCTTCAATCAGCCTTTCCCTGTGTTTAACCTGTCAAAACTTCTGCTTTCCAGTCTTTCTGCTGTACCCTACTGCATTTTTACTATGTAGCACAGAAACTAATGTATAATGAACTTTCAGTAATCCTTGCTGCACAAAAGGATTGAAAGTGACTCTTTAAATACTAATTTATAATGCACCACCCGCTGATATACCACACTACATCTTTGATTCTTATTTAAAACACCATTTATCAGTTTCCAATTGGACTTTAGAAAGTTTTCATTTCAAGTTTGTTGGCTTCCTTCTTAAAGAGAGAATGTATCAAATCTGTCTTTTTCTTCTCCACCAATAGCTAGCAATCTGCTGAGATCACAGGCAGAAATCCATTAGAACTTATTCGACAGATTTCTGTGATATTTATCTTTAAAGAAATTATTTTCTTTGTTATTTTCTTTTCTCAGACTCTTTTTCCCCTCTTTTTGCTTAAACTATACAATCAATCATACTATATGCCAGACATTGTGTTAATAACTTTCTTTTTGTATTTTGCTTTATAAATTTGTGTGCAGAGGTTTGTTACAGTACTCAATTCATGGCTCAATATCATCATTGGTCTTGAAAGGCCTCTTTTTTATTTTAACTGTTTATTTCTGTCTCTTTCCACTGTCTCCATTCTACTTACATCCCTCCTCCAGGAGACAAATGTTATATCTTCCTACTGGGTATATTTTCGTTTGTTTGCATACATTTTTATAAGTATATACTATTGCTTTTGTGCATGTTTCTAATTTATGTAAATGGCATTGAATTTTATATCTTATCTTTACTCATCTTCTTCACTAAGAACTAGGTTTCAAAGACCACTTGATAGGTTTCTGTACCCATCTGGTCTGTTGTTTCTGATTGTTTTGTAATGACAAGGGTATGCATATCACACATTTTCTTATCTACTCTCCCAGGGATGAATGCCCAGATGGCCTCCAAATGTCTACCACATCAACATTGTTACCTATTTGCACATGCTTCCTTGGGATCTATTTAAGAATATCATTAGTATGTATAACCAGGAGAGAAATTACTGAGTTCTTGGGTAAACATGCATTGATCTTAGAATGTAGTGTCAGACTGCTCTCCAGAATGGCAGTATGTCTATACCAGCAATCCAATATCTCCCCATCCTCACTTGGCATTATCTGTCTAATATTTTGTGCTAAGCATTTTAAATACAATATCTAATATAATCATTATCAAATGTGTCAATGAGATGGTATTATCCAGGAAGCTTCATTTAAAAAAAAAAAAAGCCTATTATTCCATGCAAGCCAATGAAACCATAGATGTATAGGTGGAAACCAAGGATTCTGATCCATGTGAGTAACTGTAGCAACTGGTACGTTCACAGACATCTCTCTTACCTTGAGAACTTAAGCCTCCTAGCTAATAGTTTATCTCCAGATGTGCTAGGTCAATCTCCCTGTCCCACCAAAATGAAAATACTCAGTCTGCATCCTTTCTTGTGTTCACCTGAGAATTCCATGGGAGCAAACCTCTTGCTAATGTGTCATTCTTGTAGACTCTGCTGGTCAGATCATGATGGACTTTATCTTTGAAGGATTCTGGTTCTCAACAGAGAACACTGCTGATGTGGGTTTTTTTCTTGTTTGGGGTTTTTTGTTTGATTTTCATTACTTCCAATAAAGCAGGGCTAGATCAAAATTTCTTTGATTCCCTCACCTTTTTGTAGGCAGTCACCCTTATGCTGTCAAGTTATCGTTATGGTGAAAGGAGTAGAAATGCCTTAGCTAAGTAGCATAGACCTCTCAAATTATTATTCATATTTTTACATACATCTTCTTCCTCCTTGGGAAGCTTAAGAATCCTTAGGAGTCTTTGTTAAAAAGGATTCAGGTATAGCCTACTACTACACAATGTTTATTATTGATAGACTCTACTTCTAGCCCTCACTGGTAGGCCAGATTTTTTTCCATTTTTGGCAGTTTGTTCCTGTAAGTTCTCATAAGTGTTCTCTCCCTATACCCATTATCATCCCATTCTGTGTTCTGTCAGCATGGGAAAAATGCTCTGGTTATCAAACTAAATATTGTTGCTGACTGAAGTTCATTTTTTATTTAATGAGCAAACTATTTTCAGTGTCCAACATTCAAAAAGGAGAAATCCTGTGTGTAAATCCAGATCTTTGGTTTCTCTTTAAAAATTTTAAAGACAAGCCACACTGGGTATATGCATGCTTGTGAGATAGTGTTCCACTGGAGTTAACATCTGAACTCTTCTTTCAATGGGTCATGTACTCCCTGACTGGCTTCAGGGTTTTTTTTTTTTTTTTAATTATTATTATGCAACTCATCCCTGTAAACATTTTAGGTTTTGAAATTTGATGTTTATGTTTGAATCCCAAATATGTTCAAAATTTAAGGGTTTTGTTTGTTTTTTTAGCCATGCCCCATGAAACATCAGATAAGGCATTATCCAGACATGGAAGAGGTTCATCACTTACCAACAAATACAAGTGCTGCCACATGAGTACCAAAGGGAATATGTGGTGGCAATTTATTATAATAATTGTTATATGATTAGATTTTTATCATAGCAATAAGCACTCTGTGGTTTGAATCATAGGTATAAAGTGTTCTTAGGTATTCTGATGTTCTTGTTAGTGCACTGAGTCCCAAAGAACTTTCTGCTAATGATGTTCAGCATCAGTTGCTCTTTAGCTTTCATAGTACAGCATGTAACTTTTAAGTGAAAGCATATGCATTTTTGTATGTTGCCACACAAGAAAAATACAAAGGATAAAAACAGGGATATAAAATAAACACTATTTAAAAAAAACTAAAAATAAAACTCCTAAAGTATATGTTCTTGATTTTATTCAGTGAATCCCTCAATGTATCATATATGATTTAGGAAAAATATCATATTAATATATCAATGTCAGTTTAGATCACAGCTTTGCCTAAACCTGAGGAGGGTAGTATGGATAGTAGAAATGAAAGCTGCAGATACTTTAGACTTTACCTGACCTACTATTTTGGGGGGAAAAATGATTGCTCTGGGGGATAGATTTTTCTCAGAGATTTCTAAGATCCATTCAACCTTGAGATTCAACTTGGTTTGGGAATTATGATTTTATTATAGATGCATAAATTATTCAAATGGGTATTTAAGAATATGTACATGTATATATAGACTTTACATATAAAACAAAATGTAAATTCATCTTAGGATCATCTGCCACTGGAAAGATTTTCATGATTAATTTACTATCATCATGAATGCATTAGAGAATACCTCATCCATAATTAAGAATAATGCATTATTTTCTTAATATACTTTGTCAACAGGGATCTTGTTTTTAAAATATTAGCATACCTTCTTATTCATTTTTTCATTATTTAAAATGATGACTTCTTTAAACTCTATTTCTAGGCCATGATATCCTATATACTTTTAAAAAAAATATTTATGTTGAGTTGTAGTTGGACACAATACCTTTATTTTATTTATTGTTATGTGGTCCTGAGGATCAAGCCCAGGGCCTCTTACATGCTAGGAGAGTGCTCAACTGCTGAGTCAAAACCCCAGCCCAATATCCTATATAGTCTTTTTTTTTTTTTTTAGATGTGGATGGACCTTTATTTTATTCATTTATTTATATGTGGTACTGAGAATTAAACCCAGTGCCTCACACATGCTAGGCAAGCGCTCTACCACTGAGTCCCAGCCCCAGCCCCATCCTATACATTCTTAAATCACAGTTTCATAAAGATTATTGCCAGGTAAACTACAGCATTTCTATACATCTTTTGACAGCTTTTAGTCCAGACTATTTGAAAAGTAGCTCAGTGAATTTTTCTGACATGTGAAAGGCCCTGGGTTCTATCCCCAGGACCACAAAATGAAAGAACAAATGAATGAATGAGTAAATTAATTAATAATCAAACAAAATGGAAATGAGACTCTCTTTTCAGGGGAAATGGAAGATTTATTTCTTGACCAAGATAATAGATAATGTCTCTCTCTGGTGTCATAGGATGGACACATTTGCTAACAGCTCCCTTGTAAGACTCAGGTTTTTCTAAGCTTTAGGTTCCTCAAATATAACACTTATCCACCGTGTGTGCAGTCTTCTGAGGCTGCTATGCATCACTCCCTGTGGGACTTAGGGGCAAGGAAACTGATGGAAACATGAAGCTCTTGCAGCCTGCTGTGCCTGGGTAATAGAGTCCTTTGTCTCTGACCCAGGAGTCTAATGTTTTCTGACAGAATCTAGGAAACTGTGACAGGCTAACTTGTCTTGAATGTGAGGTAAAATTTCAGACCCTTCACAGTTTTGACACAAACAAAAGATAATATACTATGTGATGATGAAGAAAATAAATGGCTTTTCTAAAATTGTCAGAATACTCATTGTTCCTAGCAGCAAACCTGATAATGGCAATTGCTCTAAGAATGACAAAATTATTCTTTCAGGCACATTTACCAAGTGTTCCACAGCAAAAACCTTTCCTGATATCTTTTCAACAGATATTTCTCCCTCCTTTGTCCCCCCCCCCATAGTGTTCTTATTTTCTCTAAGACTAGAATGATTTTAGCTCTCTTATTACACTATAAATTACAGACAGCAAGGCAGTTACTTATTTCCATATGCCTACCAAGGCCTATCTGAACAACGCTTTAAACATAGTCTCTGCTTAGTGTCTGCTAATTGACATGTATCAATCGACACAC